ACCTCTCTGCCCTCTGCAAGAGGCACCTCCTGGGTTTCTTGACCCCTGGCATGAGGGTGGATTCTACCTTGACATGTAATGATAAACAATTGTGTATTTCTTTTGCTTTCTTCCTGAGACAACACTCCTGCCCCTACTTTCTTCTCTGCCTGAAGCTCAGGCCACAGGGTCATTATTGGAAGCCACCTAAGCCCTATCTTACCTATAACCAAACCCCCGGCCAACATTCTTTGCCAATTCTGCCCTAAGGACAGTATCAAGAATTCAGTATCAAGGTGATCATGCTGCAAACATTACTCTGATCTTCTGCCCTGGTTCAGAGATGATTTGTAGTGGTTTCTAAGGCCAAACCCCCATTGGTATACAGGTGCACCTGACTCGAAACATTTATCTGCACCATTTTCCTGTCAGCTATTGTCTCAGGGGTGGATCTCCATCTTGCTTTCTTTACCCATCTTTGAGTAATGGTGACGTCTAGTTGTATCTTCACCTCCCCATACCCCACCCTCAGAACCCCATCACAGGTTCCCCACCTGCCAAAGAGATAGACAGGAAGACACTGTGTCTTCCTGTCTATCTCTTTGGACCACACCCGCCAGACAGACCCTCTCTTCTTGTCTGAGCTTTGGTTTGGGTCTACAAATCTCTGATTCTCCTGTCCTCAATCTCAGCCAACAGCAGGAACCTTCGTGCCATGGCAGATGGGACTCCCTGCGCTGGTGGTCACTGACTGATTTGGAGCCCTATTAAAAATTTAAAATTTAAATCCCAAGTGATCCAAGCACACATTTAGGGAAACTTGAGCAAACTTCATATTCCACCAATATTTGCAAAGTAAGAGAGAGAGTCAAGTCATTATAAAATGATATCCTATTAGCTTACATAAATGAAAACAGTGTAGCACGGAGCGGTTCCTCTGGGCCCAGACATGGCTGCGGCCGGCCTGGCAGAGCTGCCTGGTACCTGGTCTGTGCAGGTCTGTGCAGAGCTCACTTTGAGCAGTTTCTAGGCAGCAGCAGCAAACAGTTCCGCCAGGCTGGAGGCAGGAGAAAGTGGGAAGCAGCAGGTGGGCTGTCTTGCTGTGACTCTCAACCACTGGGCTCCTGACAGGGACCAGAGGTGCAACCTGGGGTGAAGGATGTAGTTCTGCCAGTCAGGGCCAAGTGCATCTGAGACTGTCAGACATGGAAACACCTAACATCCTGGTTTCACGGTCTTCTCCTTCCATGCCCAGTCCTTCCACCCTTCCGCTGCCTGTGGTTTTGATTTATGACGACTTCCTCCTTTCCTTCACAGGGCTATTTTAACCTGATCCCATCTTAGAACAGACATATTGACCATAAGATCCAATTGGGATATAGAAGACTAAGATTTTCCTACCCCTGCCCAGGGCTGCACAGCTTTTGGCTTCCCCAGGAAGGCCTGGGCTCATTTTTCACCACTCTCTGCAACTTCTACGGAAGACCCTCCAGCTATCTTTAGAGTTCCAGCCACAGAGCCTGTCTTGGCTCAGGTGAGACTGGCAAGCAGCTGAAATGACATTCAGCTGGTAATGGTGGCCTTGGGGACTGAGTAGAGAAAGGGTGTCTCCATTTACCAGAGAGCTCTGTGGTAGAACTTTCCCTGGGAATTTAGGGGCACAAATCTGTATAAGAACATCTGCCATCAGATTAAGAGGCTCAGAGGCTCAGAGATGATAATGATCCTCTGAGACCCTGGCTCCTCCACAGCTGGTCCTACACACGATCCACCTGAGATACGCTCAGATATCTGCCATGGCCCTGAATTTCCTTTATTGGAGTCACTCATCAGTCTCAGCAAGTCAAAGCTGACTTGGAGGTCTTTGATCACAATTATTCTCACTCCTTGTCTGCTCAAAGACCCCTTTGAGAACCCTATGGAAAAGTCACCAACTATTTCCCCAGGTGAGTGCGCATGTCCGCAATGCACATGAATCCTCACATATGATTTGCAGAGAATCTGTGGATCCCCAAGATCCATTCATAGGTCCCAGATTAGCACTCCTTGGTCTATCTTGACATTTCTTAGAGAAGACAACAGAGAAGCAGAGCTGCTAAGGACTTGGCCCAGGTCACACAGCCCAGTAATAATAGCTGAACCACAGATATACCCAACACTTCCTCCTTCCTCCTTCAAATTCTTGTGTTTCTCTAAGTCTTCCTTCAATGCTTGGGCCTTGAGCCTTTTACAGTCCTCCTGTTTGTCCTCTGAGAAGGCCAGTGCTCCAGGCTAGCAGGGGTGGGTAGACAGCAGGCTGAGGGAAAGGCGGAGGAAGATGCTGTCCACTCTGATCCCCAAAGAAGCAGCAATGTGGGGCTGTAAAGCACGTGGCTTTACGGGTTAATTAATGAATCATTCTCTGAGACTCAAACGTTTTCATCTCCAAAATGGAGGTGCTGGCAACACCCATGATGAGGAGACAAAGCACACAGGAAGGGTCAGCCAGTGTCCACCATCTCCAGGCTTCACCGTGTTCTGGGGAAGGCCTCAGCAGCCCGGTCCCTCTCCTGCCACTGGACATGGCTGTGAGCCAGAGGTGCAGGGGGCTCACTTGAGGCTTCTCCTGGGATGGTTCTCAGGCAGCTCAGCCCTCTTCCTGGCTGACGCTGAGTCTTAGGGCTCCTCAGGAATTATGATGCCAGCAGCAGAGAAGTTTGGGCCTTAAGTAACTGCCTCCCCTCACAAGGTTAGCCACTGTCACTCCCCCACCCCTCTGGCTGCCTGTCTCAGGCGCTCCGGCTGCCAGCTGCAAGGCCAGCTTGCCCCCTGCTGGCCGTCCAGCCCTGGAAAACCGTGGGCCTTGGCCAAGCAGCTTCCCTGCTGAGGAACTGAGAAGTCAGCAGCCAGCCTTCAGCCACAGCTGGAGTCCGGGCAGAACAGGACTAGGGGGCGAGCTGCAGTACCCCCCCTCCACCAGGCTGTTCTTCAGGGGGAAAGCCGAGTTCCTGGGGGTGGACCTGCAAAACACTTCCTCCCTTGCAAGATGCAGCTGAAAACTCTTCCCAAGAGCAGCTTGATGACTGAGAAATGAGAAAGAGTGGGTGGGTGGTTTTGGGGGGGGGGTCCTGCAAAGAGAAGGGGGGTTCAGGGGAAGTTACATACTGACGTCCGTTTCCTGGATGTGTCCCCCCACCACCACCACACCACACACACATGAGAGACAGATAAAAAGACACAGCAATAGACACAGAGAGAGGCAGGGACAAACAGAGCAAATAGGAATAGAGACGGCAGAGACCCAGGGATGGGGAGAAGGAGCAGGAGACAGAACACATGTCCTTGTTTAGCACAATCCAGCAGCTCCCCTTCAGGGGCTGAGATCACATCTGAGATGCAGCCTGGGGCTCTGGAAATCACCCAGGTGCCCACTGCAGGACACAAAGGCCACAGCTGAGCTGCCCAGGCCCTCGGCGCCCCCTCAGTATCCGGGCTCCCAGATGAAGGGACCTAAGCAAGCGCATCTCTTATCTTTCCTGCACAGTGAAATCCCCCCACACGGAGCACAAACAGAATCCATCCCTGCACGCCTCGGCTGCCCCTTTCCCAGTTAGAGCCGCTGCTAGCCTTTCAATTCCGTCCTAAGATGCGATGGATACAAATTGCAAAGGTTTGGTCAGCTTTTGAGCGGAAAGCAAATTTTATCGCAGGGGAAGGGGGAAGTGGGGAGGTGGCGGGAAGCAGAGGGAAAAAAGCTGAAATAGAAAAATTGCTGAAAAGCCTCCTGCAGCCTGTCAGGAGTATTAACTTAGGATGATGTAGGAGAAACGACTAAGTGGTTTTTGTGTCAGCTACACTGAATCAAACTTGTTCAAATATATGCGTGTGAGTGTGCGTGGCAGCCAGCGGAGCCCACCTCAGAAATGGAAAACAGCCTCTTAGTTTTAAGGGTTTCTTATGTTTTGCAAATAAGAGAAAAGCTATGCATAAATTAGATTAGAAAGGACAGGCGGGGTGGGGGAGGCTGTCGTCTCAGGTTTCTGCAGGACGGATGGAGGGACTGAGAGGCCAGGGCTCTGGCTCCTGAGACCCCACACCCATCTTCCTCAGTAAAAGGGAGCTGGGGAGACGCCGGTGTTCATGGAGCTGCAGGGCACATGGGCAGCGAGAGGTCAGGCCTTGGGTGTGAAAATAGGTCAGACGCCCAGGAAAGAGGGATGGAATGTTCCCTAATACCTGTAGAAAGCTTCACCCCAAATTCCAGAGGCCTCACCCCAATCCTCCATCTCCCTGCTCCCTGAGGAGCAGGTACCACCTGGGGAAGCGTGCTAGGTGTCCAAGGGCACTAGATCTTTAGCACCGGGCAGCTGACCTGCCGCAGATGCCCCCTCATTCAGTGCTTGCGGCATGGCAGACATTTGTCATCAATTTAGTAATTTATTTAAAAAAAAATTTAGGAAACACATACAGTAGACACCACAGCATTATTTTAAGTGCTTTACAAATAATGAATTACTAACCATCGCCATTATTGTAAGGTAGATGCTGTTGTAAATCATCATCTTACAGAGAAGGAAAATAAAGACCAAGGAGATTGATTTTCTCAGCCACACCTTCTAGGGTGACAGGTGACGACCATACCATTGTGGAATCCTCTCTCCTTGAGCACAGGGGAACTTCCGACTTGCTTCCTCCGGGATCATGCTGTTACATAAGACTCGGGAGTCTGGAGAGGCGCCATGTGTGGGAAAGACCACATGAGAGGAAAGTGGGGTGACCTTTAGGAGCTGAGGGTGTTGGTCCTACAACTACCAGTCACTAAGTCCTGCCAGCACGTCTGGAGCTTGGGAGAGGACCCTGAGCTCTGGATGAGGTAGAGACCCTAGTGGACGCCGTGACTCCAGCTGGTGAGACACTGAGCAGGGCACACGGCAAAGTCATGCCGGGACTTCTGGCCCACAGACACCGTGAGCTAATAAACATGGGCTGTTTTCATCCCCAGGTGCGTGGCACTTGTCACATGGCACTGGACACCCAATGCAGTGACAGAGCTGCGGCTTCCCTGCTCCCTGCTCCCTGCGTCTCTGGGGGAGCCGTTACTTCCCAGCATCCACACAGCAGCTCTGGACTCCAGGTTCTTTTGTCCCCCTGGATGGCTGAGGAAAGAGGCTGGGCGTGAGTGGACCGGCAGCCACTCAGGGCGTGGTCGGGATTCCAGGATTCCACGCGTTCATCGGCTCCCCGGCTGCGGCCCCCTCTGCATCCGATGACGGCTCCGTCACCTCCCTCTGAAGGCTGCTCGCCAGCGTGGGATGTTCTCACTCACTTTTCCTCCTACCTTCCTTCTTCTCCTTGGGCTTTTGGGGCCTGTTCCATCTCCCCACTCTGCTCTGTCTTCCTCTCTTTATGCCTCGCTTCCTGAGTCCTCCAGTTCCCCAGACGCCCCCACTTACAGCCTCTCATCCAGGCCTCTGTCAGGGCCTAGTGCGCACCAGACCCTGAGCTGGGCCTGGAGGGTGGGAGGCGGCTCCTTCTGCCCAAGCTTCACTCTTATGACCTCACTTCTTTCCTTTCCCGTCACTCACGCCACGTCTTGCTCTTGGCATCCTCAAGGATGGTCCAGAAGGTTAATAATCCAGGTAGGAAGGTTCTGCCCCTCCTTGGAATGATGTGGGAGGGTGTCTGACCAGGGTGGCTCAGGAGCTGCTGTCATTCTTTCTACTGGCCTGTCACTCAGAGATGGCCCCTCCCAGCCCCTTTCCCCAAATTCACATGGTAGCCAGCACTGCTCCCCAGACTAGGGCCCAGACCCTACCAGGACCCCTCCCCCACAGTTCTTCATGTTTAGCATCTGGTCCTAACACATGACATTATCTTAGCCCAACTGCTGTCCAAGCGCCAATCACCAAAAGCTGACAGCCTGGAGGGGCGCCCAGGGAAAGGCTGCCTGTCCGCTCACCTCCTCCATCTGGCCCCTCTCAGACAGAAGCGGGGAAGATGGTCAGTGAAGAAATGGTCCCTGGCACCTTCGTCAGGAGGTGGGTAAACCATGCCAGGATTGCTTGTCCCCTGGCCAGAGGATGGGTGGCACAGTGCCCAGGAGCTTTTGAGGGCCCTTGTAATGATACGAGACAATGCAACCACTCTCAGCCTTGGATGCTTTGCAGTTTACCTTGTCCCTTACCAGCCTGGGCCCTCACAGCAGCATTCCAGCCAGTTCTCAGTGCCTGGCTTGTACATGCATTCACACGCACACACGTGTGCCCCCATGCACACACACACACATACACACAAATGCATGCACGCACATATGTGTTTACCAGCTACACATACACACAAGCACATGTACACACCTTCGTGCATCCTCCCACACATGGATCAACATGCATATCTCAGTCATATGCTCACATGCAAGCACACATATATGGGCACACACATACACACATGCACTCACAGAAATGCCCCCACACAAACAATACACACAGGCGCACACACGCACGCTTCCCTGTGCACACGGGCACACACAAGTGTCAGGCCCAGAGCCCAACCTTTTGTTTCCTTGCTAATATTTCTGCATAAGCTTTAGATACGCCAGCTCCCTTCTGAGAACTTTTCCTCTGCGCCTGAAGCTCAAGCCTCCTTAATTTGATATTGTCTTCTATGCTCTGATCAATGCACATAGAATAAAAACACCAAGCGCAACACAAAGGTCTTATAAAGATCAATGGAGACTGTGGGTGTGAATGAGTTTCTGGGTGTAAAGGCTAAACAAGTTAAATGCAGCCACGTGCCCTGGCTGAGCTCGTTCATTGGCGGTTTGCACAGCAGGTGAGATGAGGATCAGGGCTGCCATTTACATACCAGTTCTGCACTAGGGCTTTTATAAATGACTGATTTTTTTCTTTTTTCCTCTTTTAGATCCCAGGAGGTTCACTCCTCTGCATCTGATCTTGCTGTTGTGGCTGGGCATGGGACCAAAAGAGCCAGGCAGCCATGGTGAGGAGGATGGTGGGGACAAGTAGCATTTCTCCACGTGAGTTCCAGCAGGGGAGGAGGGCGCAGCTGCTTCAGAAGCTGGTCTTTGTCTATCTAGGTCTAAATGGTTCTGCTTAGGAGTCTAGGGTCCCAGTATGAGATGCCAGCCACCTATCCACCTGCTCCTTCAGAGCAGAGTTTGCCTTGGCACTCTGGGAGCTCCCTGTGGATGCTATGGACAGAGACCAGGCAGAGCAGGTGTCCCCTGTCAGTTCTATGGGGGCATTGAGCCAGCACAGTCAGGACAGAGGCTCTCCAGCTGTCACCTCCTTCAGGCCTGAAACTGCTCCTGTGTCCATGAATGGTGCCTCTAGGAATTCTCAGACACTATAGGGAAGACTTTCAGGGGCACTAAGATGGAGTGGTGGAGGCACTGACCATGGCCGTTTGAGGATTAATGTTGACAGGACCCTTCTACCTGCAGGAGGTAAAGTTGAAGACATTCAGTTGAAGATTTTTATCATTTCTAGTGATTCCCCCAAAGGAAGCTGTGCTGAAGACTGAGATTCTGAATCTGAAGACCTGTTGAAGATTTGGGCTCTGCTTCCTGAGTGTCAGCTTTAAGGTTCTGGCCTATGACATCATTGGTTTTTCCTGACACCAAGAAAACCTAAAATCCAGACTCAGGACCAATGGAATCTACCTTCAAACATCTATCCAGCACCTCTAATGTTCCCAGAGCTGCCCATACTGCAAGAAGCACAGGAGGGTCTTCCTTTCCTGGGCACCACTGAGAAGCGGGAAGCTGAGTGCAAATTGGAAGAAGGTACCCCCTCGGGCCAGAAAAATGGCAAAATCATGCCCCCAATTACAAAAAGGCCTCTACTTGGAGCCAAGAATTAAACAAAGGGATCATGCATTTTCGGTCTTTGCCCTGCCTTTTGTTAGCCTCACATTGCACAGAGATAAAAATCCTACTCCTCTCACAGGGATCTCCCACTCTACTTACCGGGGGGGGGGGGTGATGAGACAGACAGAAAGGAACTTGAACCTGACTGCCCGCTGCTTGCAGAGTTGTGTGTGATGAGGGCTGGGGGTCAGGCTGCCAGCCTTCTGGAGGGGGATAGAGGCCGAGGATGCCTTGAAGATTGGGAGAGGTAAGGACTGAGAGTCGGCCTTGCTGGGTATTTTTTTTCTTCACATCAGAAAGAAAACATATTGCATATGATATCTCATTTAAGGCTCCTAAATACTTCAGAAATGCTAGACTGGTTCTGGGCTCAAGAGCTCAGGATTCTGTCTTCTGTAGATACCTGCTTAGAAAATGGGTGAAATATCAAGGGAGTCAGAGTCCATGAAACTGATAGCAGCAGATAAGGGTTGTATCTTGAACTTCTCCTAGGAATGGCATTGCGATGCCATAGCAACAATGCTGAAATAATAAAAAATCAGAACGTCTACCATCATTTGTGATATTTGTAGAGCACTTGCTACTTTCCAGGCAAGTGTGCTGTATGTATTTAAGGCTCCTGACACGCTTACAAGGCATATATTAGGTTTTCCAATTTAGTAAACAAGTAAACAGGCTCAGAGTAAAAAAATGCTGAGAAAATGAGCCCTTATACGGCATTTACCCTGTGCCAGGCACCACTATATTTTTACATCATTATATTTTTATTTAATCCTCACAGCAACCATATGAAGTACGTGTGCTAGTTTTTTCCCTATTTTATAGAAAATAGGAAAAAACGTGGTAAAGAGGATGTCAAATTACTTGCCTAAGGTAAAATAACAAATAAATAATAAACTCAAGGTCTCAGACCTGGCAAATGAAAACCCAAATTCAAAACTAAGCTGGTGCCTTTTCCAAAGCTCAGGTTCTCAGGTCCTGATGTAGGGCACCATAGCTTCAAGTTTTCACCAAAAGAGTCTTAGCAGCAGAGGCATGAACACATACCCCCAGGGGGCTGGGAGTGTTGCCTCGGGCAGCTAGCTGTCAATGTGAAGTTTCTTTGAAGCCCTGTGTTTTATCTTGGAGAAATTTTGTGAATTTTGCATTCTACTTCATAATTTCATGTTTTTAACATGAAAATGTTGTTTTGATTTGGGCTATTGTTGCCAAAACTTTGAGGAGGATTCAGGAAGAAGCCATCCTCTGCTCACCCCATGCTTACCTCCTAAGTGCCCCCAGGTTTCCCTTACTCCATTGTGAAAATGGTGGAGGTAGAAAGAGAGTAGGTTTCAGAATCTGCCAGATCGGAGCTCAGATCCTGGCTCCATTTGCCACCATGTGCTGTGACCTGGTCTCTGAGCCACAGGCTTTTCAGATCACTAAGTCATAGCTAATGACATAAGACTGTCAGGTCACATTCTGTAGTGAAGTGAGGCACCTTGTTCTTTGGAGGACCTCAAAAAATGGTCCTATTCCAAGTGGCTATTTATGGCTAATTCTGCCTTCATCCCCCAGTAACTAGCCCAGGTCCATTACTGAGTTGAGCAGATCATCTCTGGGCTTCTGTTTTTGCTTTGGGGGGTCATGGAGTTCCTGCTCAATCTCCTGCAGAGAGGAACTCTGTATGCATTTTATGTTTCCAATATACCTACAGCATCCATGAGGCCTAGATGGGATTGGGGTCTCTCTCTCTCTCTTTTCCCCCAAATTTATATCATCTCTTGGCTAAGACAAGAACTTATTTCCTATTAACTGGGGCTCAGAAGAAAGACCATTGCTTGAAGCAAATGGATAATATATATATATATTCATATTACATTCAGATATATTCATGTCAGATACATGTTATATTTAAACCTCTGTATAAACATTTTCCAAAACCCTCTGAATATCCAACCAAGATTTAAGCAGAGAGGAGACTCTGTTGATCAGATGGGTCCAGGAGGGGTCAAAAAGAGGTTCTATTATCGTTTTGTCAACTTTATATCTGCAAGAAAATCAGTTAACCATGCTGATTTATTTTATTTATTTTTATTTTCCTCATTTGTAAAGCAACACTAATGTGGCAAAATTTGATCTTTAGGAATGGCTTATGTACATTACGATGGCCATTATAAAAACCAATAGAAAATAACAGTAACGAATGTTGGTGAGGATGTGGAGAAATTGGGGCATTTTATGCATGGCTGATGAGAATGCAAAATGATACAGCCACTGTGAAAAACACTGTGGAATTCCTCAAACAGCTAAACATAGAGCCACCATATGATCCAGCAATTTTACTTCTAGGTATATACTAAAAGGAATTCATAACAGCGACTCAAACAGGGACTTGTACACCAATTGTTCATAGCAGCATTATTCATGACAGCCCAAAGGTGGAAACAACCAGAATGCCCATTAACAGATGAGTGGATAAATAAAATGTGGCACATGCATACAATAGAGTGTTATTCAGACTTAGAAATAAATGAAATTCTGAGATATGCTACAACATGGATGAACCTTGAAAACATTATGCTAAGTAAAATAAGTCAGAAATATTTAAATCATCCCTTGGGTGAGAAAAGGACTTATTTATTGCTAAGTAAAATAAGCCACAGATATTATATGATTCTACTTATATGATATACACAGAGCAGTTAGATTCATAGAGGCAGAAGTAGAATCGTAGTTGCCAGGATCTGGAGGAAAGGGAATGGAGAGTTCCAGTTTAATGGGCAGAGGATTTCAGTTTTGGATGGTGAAAAATTCTGGACATTGATAGTGATGATGGTTACAAAGCAATGTGAATGTATAATAGTTCTTCTCTGACCTGCAGTTTTGCTCAGTTGCCCAATGGTTGAACCTGGCCAAAAAAATTTACTGATAACATCCAGAAATAAACAGTTCATTAATTTTAAATTGTGTGTAATTCTGAGTAGTATGATGACATTTTGTGCTGTATTGCTTCTCCTATGCAGGATGGTTAACATCTATTTGTCCAGAGTATCCATCTTTTATATACTACCCTTCCATTAGTCACTAGCAGCCATCATGGTTATCAAATCAACTATCATGGTATCACAGCACTTGTTTTTAAGTAACTATTATTTTCTTTAATGATGGATCCTAAAGACTAAAGTAGGGATGCTGGCAATTCAGATATGACAAAAAGATGTTGCAAGGGCTGGGGATGTGGCTCAAGCAGTAGTGCGCTCGCCTCGCATGCGTGCGGCCCGGGTTCGATCCTCAGCACCACATACAAACAAAGATATTGTGTCCGCCGAAAACAAAAATAAATAAATATTTTAAAAAAAAGATGTTGCAAAGTGCTTCCTTCAAGTGAAAAGGTAAAAGAAAAATAAGAAGCTTTGAGAGAGAGAAAGAGAAAAAAAAACATATTCACATAACTTTTATTACAGAATGTTGTTATAATTGCTTCATTTTATTATGAGTTGTTAATTTCTTACTGTGCCTTATTTACATATTCAACTTTATCATAGACATCCATGTATCAGAGAAAACATAATATAAACGGGTTTGCTACAATGCATGGTTTTAGGCATTGACTGGGGATGTTGGAATATATCCCTATGGATGGCATAGGTGGGGTGCTCTATTACGACTTAACTGCATACACTTAAAAATAGTTATAATGATAAATCATATGTTATGTTAGGAAAATTTTTTTAGAAGAATGCTTTATAATTAAAACAAGTTTGGGGTTTTTTCCTCCTTTCTATTCTTCACTAGAAGATTTGGAAGTTAAATCCTCCCCTGTCTTTGAAGAGAAAGGAAAAGCACCCTTGGGTGTAGCAGGTCCCTGGCCATCAGAGGTCATTGGGGGTGTGAGAATAGCATTCCTCAAAGCCCAAACTGAGGTCTGCTGGGTGGCAGCCTGGACCTGACCTTGGGAAGCTGGCCTTGACCTGCCAGGTTCTTGATTAGTGCTCAGGAGTGTGATGGATTGTTTCCAGTGACTTGCTCCTGCTGAGCAGTCAGGCAGGTAGCCTGAGTCGCCAGAAGCATTGGCCAGACCAGCACGGGACAGTCAGTCCTGGTAGGAGGGAAAGAGGAGCTGCTTCTCTTTGCTGCCAGGGTCTCCACATAAAGTGCATGGCATTGCCAATGGCAGTGTGACTCCATGGGAATCTGAAGACCAGTGATGTTCACCCCTCCACCCATGGTTGTCATGGCACACATGGACCCTGGGAAACCCTTTCTGATGTGTAATGTGCAGACTTTTGGGTTTTCTCACCTCCATATTTTGATGCCTTTTCTCTATTGCGATTGGCACTGAGATGGTCCAGCAAAGGTCAATTGAGAACAGACAATGGAGGGGGGGATGGTTTTGTAGAGGAGGTTACAGAGATGGGGCTGGTGAGTATGCACCAAAGGCATGGAGACGAGTTGGGGAGAGCAGGACTGGCCTTCCTTCTATGCTTCTCAGGCTATAGGGAGGAAGGCAGAGGGGAAAGGAGTGTGGTCAGTCTAGAGCCTAAGGACTGTGTGCCCATCCCTAGGGAGTGGAGGTGGGCTTGAGGACTGCCTAGCCCCAGGTCTCCAGCAGGCCCTACAGGAAACAGAGACCACCACGGGGTCCCATGAGCCACTGGAATGCTTGTTATCTTCCCCCTGTTATCTGACCATTGTTTTCCTTGGGGTCCTGTGTGGGTGACCCCTCCTCAGCAGCCTTCGATGGGGAGTGGGTGGTCTGAGCTTACCCTGAGATTTTGCTTAGTTCCTGAATGAATTACCCATATGGACCTCTTCCTCCTGCCTCATGAGGAAGAGGACACAGCATCCACCAAGTCCAAGGTCAGTGGGACTGTGGACTTCACCTAGAGTGAAGAAGCACCTGGATTAAACCTTCTACGAGACTCTCTCAGGGAAAAGAGGATGCCCCTAAGATGATACCTCTAATAACAGGGCAATCATCATCATCATCATCATCATCATCATCATCATCATCATCCATCTTAGTGTTGTTGGAAGAATTAAGTGAAGTGAGGAAAGGGTCTCGGCATGTGTCACCCAATCCATGTTTGTTC